CAGCTGAATGTGAGTATCGTAGTGCTGTAAACTTGACCTGTTTTTGTGACCAGTTTATTTATGATTGGTTGTGGTGGAATGCCGGCTTTCGTCAGGGTAATAATGAATCCAACTTGTGTTTTCAGTATATTTTCCATCCACAGAATATCGTAATATCGTCAGCCATTATAAACAGAAAGTAGTTCCAGGAAATAGACACGTTTACCAAATATGGTAAACAGGGCCCGGGCGTGATATGGAAAATTATTGCACGGCTCGCGCATCAGGATTTCCATAGCGTTACGAGGCCGGGCAATACGAGGTATATGATAAACACCAAGTATCAAAGCATTCAGGCTTGTAGTTTTCAAGAAGAAGTCGAAAAAGTAAAACATTGACACGGACGACGGACAATCACTCATATGATAAGCTCCGCTCGACAAAGTCGACAGCGGAGCTAAAAAATGACCTGCATCAAGGTCTCATTATGTCCTACAAAAATTGATTTTTTTTTATCACAGGGTTAATTTATCCTACACCACTCATATAAAGACTATAAAGAGGATTATTTTGCGAATTTGTTATGAAAATAGGGAGCTGGTGGTGAAAGGATTAATGATTCATGCAGTATGAATTATACTTACCAGGCCCCTGTGATGTTTGTAACTGTAGTTGTTGATTCGCTGAAAGTTCATTGATTGATTGTTGGTGTGACTGATGTACAAAGTAACCCACTTGTGGTTCTTCTATATCATAGGTCGGTCTATTCTGTGTTTGAGTTATATGTTCATGGTGTATTCTAGTATCTTTCTGCTCAGAACTCTTCGCATCACTTCTACTTGATACATCATCTACATAATCATCAACAAATTTATATCTGTCAATGCACAAATATCTTAGTTCATGTTTGCATAATTGAACTTTAGCCCAACATGCAATGCAAGTAATACTCCCATGATGCATCACACTTCTAGTAGTAAAATATCTTTTTGTGGGAGACAATGAAATGTTGAAATGAATTGCACCTCTATCATCATTCTAAACTAATGTTGGTGAAAGTCACTAAATTTTAAATTTAGTTCTCATGAACACCGTTAACTCATCAAATCGTGAAAATTAACCAGTTTACAGAATTTTGTATTTCAAAGCTAGAAGTAAATGTCTCCATGCGATTGGAATATTGACGAAAGCTTTCAATACATAACATTTTTTTTCCCTTCCCTCATTGATCACATCTTCAGTGTGCAACAACACACAAAGTAAAACCATGTAGTGTTAACTGATGTGAAGCTAATTACTGGCAAGCAGCAATATTGGTATGCTGAAGCTGGTTACTACCTTAAACTAAAATATGTTTGGATATTTAGAGGAGTAACAAATTCCCACTTCTGGTCCAGCTAGACCTAAAATGCACCACCGATTTGAGATATAATTTTTGGTATGTGTTGGTTCTTGGATATTTCAGCTTCGTTGTCCTGTACTTCGTTTAGTAATTCGAACTTCCTACATTGCGTAAAAACGGAGAGTTTCGACACCGAAAATGCCTTCGCTTAATTGCTAAGGGATGGTCGCTTAGGTATGTGCTCTGTAACCTAAAAACTTTAGGCAATCAAACAAAAATGACATTGTACTAAAGTACATAAAGTATGTAGCATAAAAACAACTTGCTCTCTTGCTTATTGTGACACCCTCAAATTGAAAGTCAACAATGGTATAATCCCCTATTTTACGCCACGACTCAACAGTCTTTTTGCTTGACGTGTTCATTTGCCTTCAATTACGTTTCGGTGGCTGTCACTGTCGTATTTTGAGTCTTGTCGATAACATTTTGGTTCAAATTCATGTAGCTATCGCCGAGAAAATTTGAAAAATCTTTCAACTAAACTGGAAGTCAAATTAGCATAACAATGCTTTTAGCCTTTATCGTTTCGCCATATTGAATTGAATTTCCAACTACAACATTTAAACCTTAGTCGGGGAAATTCACTCGCATTAAGGTAGCGAGAAGGTTTTGTGACGTTTTTAAATAAAACATTCTCTGTCTGTTGTCTCGTTCAGAACAGTAATTTAGGTTATATATATCAAAAGACTAAGTATAGAGGTGCAAGTTCGCACAAACTGGACAGACATTGTTTACATAATTATCACGTGACATCAAAAATGGCGAACCTTGTAAAAATGACTAAGTACGCGATTGCGAGACCACACTGCGGAATTTCCTGGTGAAATTTAAGTTATGCATTGTCCGTAA